GTCATAGATGGAAGGGTGGTATCTTTTCCTAATCAAATGAACCAAAATTTGTTCATTTACATCTGTAAAATGCAGGTATAATTCATTATTCTTTCTCACCTGATCAAACACATCAGTGTAGACCTGCTGAAGGGTATGAAAGCTGCAAAACTGATTTATCTCATGATGGATCTTGTCGTATATCCATGTATTGTCATAATGCACGCCATAGTTGAGCAGTGTGTCATGCACATATTCCTTACGGAGACGGTTAACAACCTGAGAAGAAACGTTTGATTCAAATCAGTCCATGTAACGAAGAATGTAAAAATTTTCAAGTGGTTGTAGTGTCAATTGACAATATCCCAAACGGTCCTACCTCTATTTTCTCAAAATTTATCATAACACCTCCTTTAGTGCCACATGGAATATCTCTCACCTGCACTTGAAATTAAGAATGAATGTACTTATTAAGGCTACAGAAAATTCCTTAAAACTCACAACTGGTAAAACAAAATTACCTGATCTGTCTGGAGAGTTACTTGAACAGGTTCAAACTGAGTGAGCAAAGGCATCTTTAGATGGAACCCTGAAGATTTAGTATGGGTGTAAGGGAGCAACCTGGAAGACTTGTGCCAACAACTACATAAGTCAAAAACAGATAGAACAAGAGACTACCAGGATCTGTGATTGTCTTTAGGAGGGCACCTCCTCTCCAATATACTCCAACATGACCCTCCGGGACTTGATGCAGAATGGATAAGCTAGATGATGATGATGATGATGGAATTATTATCTACAAAATTTTCAAAGCCTGAGACTTGATTTGAAAGTTCTGAACAGATTCTAAAAACTCCTAAACTGTAACAACTCCCATCTGTAAATTAACCAAGGATAACAAAGCTTGCAGAGAATGGACTACATTACACATTAAAAAAGTACAGCTCCAGTTAAACTTATTTTTTCTTCTACATGGTGCCAACAAAAACGAATAGAAATTTTGGAACAGATAGTATTCTATTGTACTTGAGAATAAAAGAACCTTACATCTTTCAACCCAAGTTGAAACACGAATGAAATCAGAATTTGAAACTACTTATCTGCACAATCTTATCAAATATGAAGCTCAAGCAACAGGGATCCTGCCTCTTATGTGTCTAAAATGATGGAGAACAAGAATAAGATAGTAGAATACTTTCTAGTATTAAGAAATTTTTATGTAGTACATTTACATATTACTAAAATTATTTAGTTTATTTAGGAAAGATTACTATTTTTTTACTTTAAATTGGTTTAGGAATTCTATTTAGTTTTTTATTATAGTTTTTATTTAGTCTCCCAGTTAGGATACTATAAGGCTCATTTAGCGTTCTATAGTTTCCTATACCGATTAGATTTAGTCTCATGTTTAAGATCTATTTGCATCTATATGGAAGAATTTTATTCGGATTGTAAATATTTAAGATTATTGTTTAGTAATCCATAAATCAGATATAAATAGAATTTATATTTATATACCACCCTTTTGAACTGAATTATTTTTCTTGTTATTATATTGAAAGAACAGTATATGTACTTTTAGCAATAACATGAATAAGATAAGATAGTAAAACCTAACTCTATATAACACGACTAGCAGAAACTCATGCGGATCTTACCACTGAAAC